AAAAGTGTGTATATATATATATATATTATAAATAAAAAAATTTAGGTGATACTTTGGAGCAGGAGTAGACATTGGACATCATTCTAACACTTTGAAGAGTGGCAATGTGCAGATAAGGGACAGATTGACAATTTGTTTTAAAGAACTCTGGACAAAACTTATTAACCGTTGCAGTGGGGCTGCCACCACACTGGAAGGATTAGGTGCGCGTTTTTTGTCTAGGCACCAAGAAAAAAAAAAGGCTTCAGAGACCAGAGAAGCCAGCTCAACGTGTGTACAACTAGTTTACAATAATGGAGATCTGCCAGCACCATGCAACATTAAATACATCATAACTGCCTAGCTCCCTCAAACAGGAAGTAGGAATTTCTTTGAAATGATACTGTTAATGCAAACATGGATAAGTACGTTGCAATGGTCTGGAATGAAACAGTGTAAAAAGGCCAGCCCAGAAAGTGATCACCATTAGGTCCAGAACCCCTATGCCAAAGGGAATAGTTGGGAAACCGCAGGACCGAGAGTATGAATGTGGGAGCAGAGACACTGGTGTTTGCCCAGGAGAACCATGGGGATGTGCAAGTAAGCATCCTTTATGTGCAGAGGTCAGAAGGTCTCACGTTATAAGGGAAGCAATGACTGACTGGGTGGATTCCATTTTTGGAACTTTAAGGAATCTGTTCAGAATCTTTAGATCCAGTATGGGGATAACACTTCATTTTGTCTTGGAGATCTTAACCAGGTTTAAATAAGAATGCTGGAAAAGTAGCTATGACCTCTTGAGATGAGCTGCTTGGGAGCAACGTGAAGGTCCGCTCACATTTGCAGAGATGTTGGCAAGTTTTACAGCATGATGCAAAACCCTAGTTTGTAACCCCTGGATAAAATATTTTAGACCCAAGTGTCTTAAACGTTATGGAACCGGATGGCCGTAAAGGTCAACTGATGTCCCTTTGACAAGAGGGGGTGCACAATCATTAAGAGGACTTATTTCCAGACTTTGGAGTTCCAGGCCTTCTGATGGAAACAAGTTCCTGGCTTGGAATCAGAGACCAGAAACAAAAGGAACTTTTACATCTAGTCTAGGTGGCTTACCCACTGGAGTTTTTGCCTTTTTCTGGAGCAAAAGGGTACTCCTCCTGCCAGTGTACCTAGGCTATGGACCTGTAGAGCATCCTGCTGCTGTGTTGCAACCATGTGCCTAGGTGAGGACATAACGTAGAGTTCAGTGCCCAAAGAGCAACATTTCAGGACAGCCCCGCATCGTCTTCCTGGCAGGGTCCGGTTATAGTCAGCTGGGGCACAGCTGGGAAGTAAAAGATCTGGAAGATGCAAAAATGATTCAGTGGCTCTACAGCAGCTAAAGAATCTTGCTTGTAGAAAGAAAAAAAGTTCTCATAACAGGGGAAAAAAACATCCGTTGTAAGAATACTAGTAAAAACCACTGAGGATTGATGGGAGTAGGAAGGGTTATACAGGGCTGTTCTTACAGCATTGTTTGCCAGTGTCCAATCACCTTAAGGCAGCTGCATAACCCATGGATCAAGATCCAGAATTCCGTCCTGTGTCCAGTAAGGTACGATTAAGAAAGAAAAATATTATTAAAGAGGAAAAATAATGGCCAGTAAAAAAAATTACACTTTTCTCAGCAGAGAAAATATGTCCATCCTACTAACTACTAACCAAACATGCTGGGGAGAGAAGAGTTTTACCCACTGGTCATTTTGTTTGTTTGCCAATGCCCAAATCCTTGTGTAGACA